GTCTGTTAAGTGACTTGCCCAATGTCACATAGCGAATAACAGGAATTGTCAGGGCTAGAATCCAGGTCTCCTCTACCACTTATGAGGGCAGAATACCAGTGTCATTGTTAAAAAGAAGGGTTTGCATTAGTCTGTCCCAGCTATGCAACTTACTTGCTATAAACTTAGGATATTCTTGTATTTTTCCAATCCTATGGTTCCTCATAGTTCTTCAAAGGGTTACGGTTATGATTAAAAGGTACAATGATATAAAGCCCTATTACAACTGCCGACTGAGTACACTCTAATCATCTCAATCATTATGCCTCCCTGCCTCTGTCCCAGATGGAAGGTTCCAGTTTCAGGAGCCAGCTTACGTATCTGCTCATTAGGCTCAGCAGCCTGGTTCTAGTCTCAAAAGTCAACTGGGATCACGCTCATTGTGCTAGGAGCAGCTCTACTGAATGGGGAATGCACGACATCAGGCCTAACACAGGACAGGATGTCAGAGTGCTGAGCAGCCAGTTTGGAGATCTCTAGGGATTCTGATTCAATAGGTCTGAAATGGGACCAGAGATTTCGAATTGTTAAAAATCTCCAGGAGAGTCTAAAGAGCTAACATTAAATGACAAGTTCTCAGTTTGACAAGAGAAAATCTCACATTTCTGTGACTACAAAAGGGTCCCAGTCTAATCTAGAGCAATGCATTATCCAATGTGCGACACAACAAGGACATCACAGGAAGACCCGGGATCATCACAAGTCCAGGGCTCTTCTGTCAAGGATAAAGGGCAGCAACTGCCCAGAACCATGGAGGAGGACTGAAATCAACCCGAACCAGCAGCAAAAATAAATGTTGGAGGGACCTCTCTATCCTAGATACATAATATTTTCAGAGCTAAAACAGACTTCGGAGATGATCTTGTCCATTATACAGATACAGCACATTAGCAATTTGAACTCTAAGGAACTCACCAAGACTTGGAGGCCCACAAAGCAATGATTCACAGTAAATTCCCTCAATAAATAATGCCGGATGAAAGTATTAAGATAAAAGTGGCATTCATACATTGCAAAGACAGGGTTTCGAAATAACCTACTCTGAAGATATATAGAAAGTGTCTAAAAGTATAGTAGGTCTGGCAGCACTCAGAAGCGCCAGACCATAAGTTTAGAACTTTGAAGTGTCTATGTGGTATTTATGGCCTAAAAAGAGACTAGAGCCAGCAAAACTATTTTCCTAGAGTTGGTGGGCAGAGGAGAAGAGGGAAGGGTCTCCAAAGGCCCATATGAATTTGGCTCACTATTTTGTCCTTAGGACCCTGCATACTACTTGCAAGCAATATATCAGTCAGTAAATATTTATTGAATGCATGAAAGTAAGAGAGGGAAAGGAAGATAGAGATAGTTAAAGAGAAACCATCTCTGCTTCTACAGGCGAAGCGGGCAACTGAGTGTAGCATTCCCTAGGGAGTGAGGCCTGTTGGTTGCCTGACCCAAGAGCGATGGAAACTGATTGCTAGTACAGTGAAAGAAACGTGAGCTTTTGAGTCAGATACACCTGGGTTCAAATTCAAATTCTGTATGATCTTGGCATAAGCACTTGACCTCTTTGAGCCTCAGTGTTTTATCTTAAAAAGGGAATAATACCACCCACTTCATCTCCAATATAAGCATGATGGTATTTATTCTTACAAAGTTGTTGGAAGAAAATTACGTGAACTAATGGATTTATGCAAAGTAGCCAGCATAATGGCCAACACACAGTATGAGCTAAACAAATGGCAATGCATGTTAGAATTAATAATGTCCTCTATAGCCACAGCCTATATTCTCCTAGGCTGCCTCTAATCATACTCTGTCAGTTTTTTCCAATACCAATATGTAATTTCAGTTTAAGTTCACTAGATTTCTTAATAATGACCATTTCTTTAAGTAAATAATAAAATCGTGTATACATTCCCTTTCAGTTTACAAAGTAACCTCACAATCACACATAATTCTGAAATGAGGCATTACTGTTATTCATATTTAGTAAATGAAACACTAAGACCACTCAACCAGCAGATTTTGGTACAGATTTTAACATTTTATTATAATGGCCATCATTTTCTTAACCAGAAATTCAAACAAGTGATTCCATTACGGAATAAAATACTTGAACTCCAACTGCTCCAGAAATCACTTCAGATGCTGCTTGGATCACCCTACTACTTATATAGCTGAAATCAGAAACAAAATCCTGAAAGAAGAGGCAGTAACTTTTTTTAAACGAAGACTTAATGCATCTATTATTAATAGTCTCAAGTAGAAGAAGAACATCAGTCAGAATCAGGCCAATGTATGTTTTAGCAACATCTCTCCCATTTTTTACCCATAGAAACCTCAATGATTCTTAACCCAGTAAATTTCAGTATCTTCATCTTTGTAATGGGAAAACATTACTCCTAAGTTTGCGTGAAGTCCCTGGCATTGAGATGTAACTTACAGTTACTCAACCAGTAAATTATAGCTACTCTGATAACAATGCCATGGTACTGACCATTTGGACTGCAAGCAGTCTAAGTGACTGCTCGTCTTCCTCCTGGCTGCTTCTTCTAGCTTGTGCATACCTCCTGTTCTGCATCTGTTCAATGGGGATACAACCAGTCTCCATCCAACCTCACCAGAGAATTAATATAACAAAAGAGCTGGCAAAGATATTATGCAAATACCAAATATTATTAAAACATTAATGGCAATTTCCACGAATTTTGATAAATCGTATTTATTATGCACTGCCAGCCCCTCATACAGTCTGGGCTCTCAAATATTAACCAGATAATAACAGCAATCATTTTCCTAAAAGACCAAGGCATAGAGAAATAAGGAGTCTAGATGATTCCAGATAACATCTGTCTCAGTCAGAATCTCTGTTGCAAACAGAGAATGTCAGGACAGGCCATGGAGACCACAGTGAACACCTCAGGCTCAGATCAACTCCACAGCCTATGTAAAACTCAGTTTTGATAGAACAGTGGAGTTTCTTGGTGCTGACAAGTCACTGACTATGACAACAGTCTACTCCCACTTGGCTCTTCTGCAGATAGTTACCTCTCAACTAGACAAAAATAAAAAGGGTCTGGGAAGCTGGGGGGGCCAATAGTCTTATTTAGAAAGTGGCTGCCTTCTGCCAACTGCCTAAAAACAAAGGTAGCGTTATCCACGGCTTCATTAAACAGGCTTGCACCAAACTGCTCTGCCATTTCTGTGTGAGGGGACAATATTTTTAAGCTGTTGACAGTCCTCAGGTATAGCTCAGAGGCAGAACAAAGCCAAGAGGACTCACCCCCCCATAACTCCCAGAAATAAAAGCCTGGTGCCACTCCAGTGACCCCTTAACAAACTGAGGATCAATTAAGACACCTCATTCGCATATTCATGAAAGACTCAAGGCTGTGGCAAATGAAACAAAATGCACAAAAAGAGATTTTGTTTTTTAAGCCAAGCTAAAATCCGCTTTAGACGAAGTAAATCCACACAGGGACCCTTGCTGTCTCCAAACCTTCACTTGTCAAGAGCAGCCAGCACCTCATTAAGGAAAAGCAAGGAACTCACAAATGAATGCAGCACAACACACAGGCAAGCTCATTTCACCATCTGCCTTCTAGTGTCCAGAGGGGCAAGAGGCTTAAATGACACTCCTGACTTTTCTCTCCTGCAGGTGGAACTATCACATTCCCAGGGTGCAAGAAAGACTTCTCTGCAAGGTCAGTTGGGTAAAAAGGAACATCAGTCAGAATTAGGCCGATGTATGTTATAGAAAAGAATTTAGTTTACCTGAGAAAACAATGCCATTCATGACATTAAACATACTTGTAAATAAAGCATCCCGGAATAAGTCACTCTTCATATCTGTGTAAAGGCTTTGCTAAATCAGCGCATCAGCTGTGGGAGTTAGCACAGTTCATGATGAAGTATACATTTAAACTTACCACTCCTCATACCCTCCTATTTTCTGTTCCATGCCTATCCTGACTGATGGTGACCCAGCATCTTTTTCTACTGAACCACCTATGGCAGGAGACACCGGAACTGATGCAGGGGCTGTAACAACACAACGACAGACTTCCACCATTTATGTCAAAAAGAAAGGCCATCATTAAGCAACTTAAATAACTGTCCTGAATCTTTTCTCGTGTGACCCCACCCTTTTGAAAATCACTATGCTGGTTTTCAGATCTGGTATCATTGTAAGCTTGTAAACTACCCTGTGGAAGTCCACTCCCACCAGGTTGGGGAGTTGTTTAAAAAAAAAAAAAATCATCTAATGAGCTGAATGGTCGAATATCTCAACGGAGAGCTTTTCAACCCCATACATGATCTAGAATACACTTGGGGAGTGTGGAGCAATAGGTAAAATCCGGCCCCAAGTTTTAACATGCTTCATCCAACTTCAAAGCATTACTACTATGAGACGCCACACGTTCAATTTGTATTACCACCACACACACACCTGCCCCCCACGCCCCCACACACACACACACACACACACACACACGCACGCACGCACGCACATGCAGTTGGGTTAGGGGAAGGAAGAAAACCGAGAGGGAAAGATGCCCTACGACAGAACCAGCAGCAACAACAGGCAGCCGGCTGAAATCCAAGTAGATGGCAAGAGAAGGGCAAAAGCTCTGTTTTCCTCTATGGTCAAAGACCTTTTCTGGTCAAATTTTCCACTACCTGGGAAATCAGCTGAGGATGCACAGGGCACAGAGATTACGTGGTGGGGCAGCGCTACTCTCGAGCTCCCAGTTCTGCGGAATGTTAACCGCCCGGCCACCTCCTGCATGTGGGCCAGGGTTGCACTGGTGGAGCCGCAAGCTGCAAGGCAGGCTCCCAGTAGCAGACACTCACTGTACCACAGTAGCAATAATCCGAACGACGGGACACCTGAGGAGGGATCCGGTCTCCCAGGCCAGGCTTCAATATTTTCTTTTACACTCCACTCAACAATCAGTTTAAGAACCTGCAGGTACCGGGCTGTGGGGTCGGAGTGGGCGGCACATTTCTAACCCAGGAAGTCTCCCAGATTCCGATCTCAGGCGAGCGCAAGGACAGCACACAAAGAGGAGGGGGCCGGCGCACTCCAGGGAGTCAGAGCTGTGAGCTCGGTCATTTTCCAGCTGGGAATTAAGAATTCCGAGCTCCGCCAGAACCCTGGGGAAGCACCGGAAATGCTTCCGACCGCTTTAAAGGGAAGTCGATTTGCAAATCAAAGTTGCAAGAACTCCGGGCGCCCAGCCTACTTCAGCGGGTTACTAGGGAACACCCAACAAGTTTGGCCACCGGGGGCTCGGCATGACAGCGCCGCGCCGCAAGACTAGAGAAGCAACTTGTCGCTCGGGCGCGGAGCCAGAGCCCCAAGCTATCTCCGCGCCCCAAGCTCAGGAAAGGACCCGAGACTGCGCTGGGAAGGCGCAGGTCCGAGCCTCTGGAGCCAAATCTCTTGATTGAAAGGCGCCGCCGGGTCTCACCCGGACCTCGGTGCTTCCAAGGGCTTCCCTCGACCCCAACACTGAGATGTTTCACCACGAACACTGCACCTGCCTTCCAGCCCCGGCCGGTGAGAAATTAACAAAAGAGCCAGCGAACTGCGGGGGAAAGGGACCCGGCGTAAAGTATAGTAAGGAGGGGAGATAAGGCAGCTCGGCTTGCGCCGGAGGAAGAGAAGAGGCGGAACAGAGATGGGTTATACTCCAGGCACCCGGCTCCGGGAAGGAAACCAAGAAGAAAAAAAGAGTGCGAGAAGGTGGATCGGGTCCTCGACCCCGCTTCCCATGACAGACACAGACACAGACACAGACACACACAGACACACACACACACACACGAACACCTCCCCCTTTTCCCTCCTTACCCAGCATGGAAAAGATGAAATCCTTGGCTGTGTGAATCTCCAGCGCTCTCTGGTCGTCGTATTCCCGCTGGTCGTGCTTCGTGAATTCTTGGATGAGTTTGTTCAATTCCTCCACCCGCGCTCCAGACCTGAAATCCAGCTCCGGGAACGCAGGCTTGTTGTTACAGCCCAGGGAGGCTGCCTTGCTGGCGGTGGGAGCCGCCATCTTCATGCAAAACGCGCCGAGGAGCAGCTCCGCGGCGGCGGCGGCA